CCGAATATTAGCCTACCTATGTGCGCCCATGCAGAAAAATTCACACACACACACACACACACACACACACACACACACACACACACACACACACACACACACACACACACACACACACACAATTACACACACACGCGTCTTCTCACACACGTACAATCACTTCTATGCACACAACTAGTCGTCATGCYGTGTCTTTTTTGTCGTAGGTCTYCCCGAACGTCGGAGGACAACATTATCTGTTGTGTTCACTTTCTTTGACTTCTCATTGCAGATTACATCCTCCTTTTGCAATGTCACRTGGTGGTGTTCCTCTTGTTCTTTCTCATTTTGTCGGCCATCCCCGTCCTCACCACGCCCTGATTGCTCACCTGATTGTGTCCCGATGTCAATGACATYATCGTCATCCTCTCTCTTGCGCTTGGGCTGTTGATGCTTGTCGCGCGGTTCGTTGAAGTTCGTCATCGTCTCTTCYCATTGAGGCCACAACCTTCTCTTTCCTCTGCACACCACCTRGCCCACCCTCGAGTACGTCGCCTTCATAAACCAGTCGAAGCATCAAATCAGGTGTGTTCTWTGACAAATCTTCTATCYCSTTCAACTGTGGCACCGACKCTTCTCTYGTYAACTCAGTTCCTTGCATGGACATTGGTTCCGTGGCCATTTGMGGTTCWGACCYCGTGCAAACCTTGGGAGATTCCATTGTTGCAAAGCGATCCGCTGACTCTTTGTCCTCAGCGGAATCCTCCCGTTGCGACGGGGGATGGAACGATTGATGTTCGGCCTGCACTTTWTCTCWTTTKGACTCGTCGTTGTCGCCCACARATTTTTCCATACCATTCCTCTCATCAACTTGCTTRTCACTATGAACGRAGGTCGTGAATGGACGTCCCGCTGTACTCGTCGAAGCGTGGCCACCGTCATGTTSCAATTGCCGACTGTTGCCAAGACGTATCTCACCTTCAAACTCTTGCACCACTTCTSGACTTGGCAATTTCCAAGGGATCTGACCGTGCGACACACTTGATTCAATGTCATAAAAGTTTGCGTTGTACTCCAGCATGTTCTGATCTTGCAACTTGTCATAAAGTGTGTCGGCATATGCTCCTTGTGCAAGGCTGTCTGATCCACCGTTCGCCTGCCGCACTTTGATATGAACCTGTTCCTTTGCGATTTCGAAAAACTTGATCTTCAATACCCGCTTTCGCAATTGCCACTGGCCATCGATGCACACAGCCATGTGCCATTTCCCGTTCCATACGCAGGGCTCGATGACCTTCGGGTGCCACAATATATGATGCCCCGATTGGTGGTCTTCTATCTCAACCACTGTCCCAATGTGTTGCAAGAAGTGCGGGCCTCCGGTGAACTCCTTCATGTCCTCTCGAATTGTGTCTCCTGGCATCAGTTTGTCATCGTCGTCGGGTGGGAGCGGGAATTTGATGGCGTTGACGTCCATTCCGCCAACCTGTGCATTTTCCTCCTGGGGCACGTTATATTGGTTCTCTCTTGGGATCTTTGACAGGCCCATGCTCACATACACGTTGTCCAGCTGTGTCAATATCCCGGGGTATCTGGCACTGCTTTCCTTGCCTTTGGATTGGAGATGTGGCTCTTTTCCAATTAATGAGCCTGGCTGCAACCCTTCATTGCTGTTGTTCTTGCTTGCATTGCCTGCACCCAGTGCCGTACCCCCGTTCACCGTTCACGGGGCTTGTGAATGGAGACCAGTCACCGTTCACGGAATTCGTGAACGCCGGTAGTTCACGGAGTTCA